CATCATCACCATCTTCATCATCACCATCTTCATCATCATCATCATCACCATCATCCTCATTGTCATCATCATCTTCATTACTCGTCCTGAATCCCGACTTGAGAGACACCTCCCAAACTTCAAGCCCTGGGCTCCAGCTCTCTCTCTCAGGGGATGCAAACCAACCATGAACACAAAGAGCTCAATACCCCTGAATTAAGGAAGATACCTTACACTATATAATTTACGGTATATTCCTTAGTTAAGGGGTATTGGGCTCTCTGGGAACCGCTTGAATCATGCAGCCGGAGCTTTCTGGATTCCGGGTTTAGGAGGAGGGCCTCTCTGCTGTGCGCCCTACAACAAGCCGTCCGAACAAGTCGCCTTGTTCGCGTGCGCCCGAAAGCTGCAAAAATGCAGCCTGGAGGCCATGTACTGAGCTTGGGGCAATCCTTGCTTCGCAGCCTTCTCGATGTACTGCATGCCTCTGGGGACGTCGATCTCGGTACCTTAGCACCACGAGATTCTGGGAAGTCTCGCAAGGACATTGGCTACAGTTGCAAACACGTTTTTCTGCTCTTTGGAACCCTGCTTTGTCTAACACATGATACTGCACACTCTAGTTTTGCCGTGTGTTCCTTCAAGAGCCAAAGCCCTTAGTTGAGAGCTCTACCTAACACGCACATTGAGGACCCCGCTGCTATGCATTGAGGTATGTTCCTTGCTTGCAAAGCCGTGGAGTCCTCCCTCTTTCACGGAGGTGCTGGACTCAAATTTGGACGGGACGGCACTCCAGGCGCCATCTTTCCATTCTCCCTCGAATCTTAAGAATGTATGTATGAACTAAGCTAGTATGTACGTATGTATCTGCAAGAAATAGCATGAGGCACTCAGTAGAAACATTCAACATACTCTGTGCGCTGTATTAGTGTGTTTTAATGCCGCTTCTCAGAAGATCTTCTGCGTCACACCTTTGGACCACCTCCATGCCTTCCGAGAGGCCGGATCCTTGGCGCAAGGCGTATCCCAACCTGAGCCGAAGCAGGGTTGCCGAATCGTTGTTGGATCAGGGTTCCGCGTGTTCGGTTTGGGCTTAGGACCTAGCGTCTGTTTCTATTCCGGAACCCCTTTAAGACAGTGCCTTCACCGACCTAGGTTTTTTTTCACGAGGGAGCTGCAGAAACGACAACCCGAAGTTGAAAGCCCCCAGAGCTTCACGTAAAGGACCGGTTTAGGGTTTCGAGGCCTTCAGAGGGCAGAAGGGTTTGGGGGTGCTTAGTTTTCTTGGAGACGTCCTCAAGCTTGGAATAGAGGGTCTATGTCAGGTTTAGGGGTTTGGGGTTTCGGATAAGCAAGGTGAGGTTGTTGGTGCTTCGTCGGTTGGGGTTTCAGGTGATGTTGATGGTTGAGCATTCAGGGGCAGCTGGGGTCGAGGAAAGGGACGCGCAAGCTCTCTTCGACTGGCTTCAACTCTCAATGCGTGCTCAGGCACCGATATTGGGCAAAGTCGAGGTCCGCAGCCGCAGCTTTCCTGTCCACATTCAGGTACCCATTGTAGCCAACAGGCCAAATTAATGTAGGGGCTTTAACAACTTGAATAGGGTCTTGGGATATATGATAGCATAATCATAATCAAGAACCCGCAAGATAGTACGAGTATTGGCAATTATTTCCGGCCCCCAACAAATAAACGTTGGCAGTCGAGAGTTTCGGACGTGAGGGGCTTGGACCATCCTCATCCCTTTAGGGTTTAGGGCTTTAGTGCTATAGGCTTTTTAGGGGTCCATGTTAAGAGCTGTGAAGCGGCTCGAAGAGCAGCACACCGCGTTCTTGATCTGGGGCGATCTCTGCATCGCAAAGCCTCGGCTTTCGAAACGAGGGTGCTGAAGGGGGGGGGGTTCCTGGCATTCGGGGTCCTTTGTCGGGCCTCCTTGTAGAGGATCCTGTTGTGTGAACTCCCACATAGGCGTGTGATGCGAAGGAGCGTTCTCCGACCAGCTGTCATGTCCTCACATTCTTTCAAAAACCCGGTTCAACAGATCCCGCCTGCTTGATCATGTCCTCCTCGACGTGCAAGAGAACAGATCAAGATTAAGCCGTAAATCGAAAACCATTCGAGGAATCATCTGCGCCTACATCCTTTTGACCAAAACCCCTGCCTTTTCCCCAAACCCTAAACCCCTGGGGGGACATGCATTGTGTACCACGACCTTCGGCTTGCAACCAGGCGGCATCTCCCCCAGGTTGAACTGGGCTTCAGCATGGCCTCTGCTGCCGGCCTTCTCAAACCATCGCGCCGCCTCCTGCGGAAGGCTTCGACTCACACACTCGCACAAGGCTGGCATGACGGACGAAGGTCTGTGCTGAAGGTTTGGGGGTTTAGGGTTTCACAGCAGGTCCCAAATAAAGGCTGGCATGACTGGAACAAGCAGTGCCGGTACATTGGAGTTCTAAGAATGGCAAAGCAAGACCCGAATCTAAAAGTCCGAAGTAAAAAAGTTGAAATGGACCTGCAGTACAAGGACGACCGCTTGCTTGAGAAACTACCGTCGTTTGAAAAGCCGCTCAGAACTGATTCTCGGAGGCATACACCTTCAACCTAATCCGCAGAGTGCTTGTGAGAAAGCCTGCAATCCACATTCCACTCATGCCGGTGACCTCTACATTTTCGCTCTACTTGCCTATGCTTGAGCTACGCCTTTATGAGTATATAGCGCAAAATACTTTACGAACAGCACGATCCCTGAAACCAGTATGTGCATCTCTGAGAAAAGCAAAGCCTACACCGGACCCAGCAAGGAGCACCAAGGGTCTCTCCCTCGCTCTCCCTGTCCGTCTCTGCGCATGGATAAGCGACTGACTGAATGAATGAATGCGGGAGTGAGTGAGTGAGTGGGTGGATGAGTGCATCACCATACATGCATGCGTACGAACATACATACGTGCATGCATGAACACGCATACATACATACGAAGCAGCTTGACGGAGCAATAAAACGAACTGTCATGCACTGACGCTGTGCTCCTCTTTACGGATTTCGCAGCCCAGTCCATTTCGAAGCATCGTTGCAGCACCTGAGATGCCACCGCAGCGAATTGCTCGTGGTTGATCTTCTGATAATCTTCGAGTCTGAAGCCACAGACAGAGAAACAATCCGACCGACCGACCGACAGATAGTCAGATGGACACACAGGTAGATGGTAACGACTGGGCGTCACGAAAGTGGCCCTTGTAGCCCAGGAAAGATGACGAGAAAGGGGGGGGGATCTCGCCTCCCCACACAGTCGAAGTTCACTCATATTCTGTGATCTTCGTGTGAAGCTTGTGGGATATCAAGAACCCAACCAAAACCCCGAGTCAGAACATGTCGAAACAAGCCTGTTCTGCAGAAACGGGGGCAATTCATGGCTTCCAGGTGGTCTTGTTTCGCCGCAGCCAACAGCCATTTCAGAGCTCTCGCCATGTCCTGCCCAACGGATCCAGGGGTCTTCTTCTGACTTTCGGGTTTCCCCCGACGTTTCACTTCGCTGCAGGCGATGCGAGGCCCTCTGTGCCTTGGCCACGCCGTTGGCGGTGACGTACATTACCTGGTCAGCTCATGTCAGCTATGCAGCTATCCCACCCTGAAGCCAGGAGCCTTTCGGAGCCCTGTCCGAAGGTCCGACTCAAACATCCTCTCTATGCTAGCCGAAGAGACCGTAAATTGGGTGTGATACCAGTATGGAAAGCCAACGAGACCGAATCAATTCTCGAAACCAGGGTGCACCCAGCTGAAACTGGCACTCAGCGCTGCCCGCCTTCCGCACAGGGGCATCGAGATGCTTCTCGGCTTCAGCTTTTAACTCAGTGTCTTTTTGGGAGATTCCTGTAAACTCACACGTGCTCCCTTGCCACTGCATCAATACGTTTTGTGGGGCATGGGGTTTACGCTCTCACGACTCGGACAAGCCTGGGGCATGGGATTTAGGGTTTCAGGGTTTCGGGCTTTGCGTGAGGGACGAGCCAACCTAGTTGTCGGAAGAAAAATGGACGGTCATTTAGGTTACCTGGCTGAAGCTATGCAGTGAGCTTCGGGTTTCACCGTCTTCTCCTGACCTCAATTGACAAGACCATAGCAAGAGCCCCGGGCTTATGGGTTTAATTACCCTATCACTTAGGGTTTCCGAGCCTTTACGCCAACCCTAAACTAAATGGTTGGGCTCTCCTCAAATCACAATAATAACAATAACAATAATAATGCTAGTAATACTAATAACAATAAGACTGATAATGAGAGGAATAATCATCTGAGCAACAACGGAATCTTCCAAGGACCTTCGCTTGCTGCTCCAGTGCTGCTGCAGCGGCTAGGCCCTCGGGCGTCTCCCCACCTCGCAGTTGGTTTGCCTTTGTTTTAGTTTCCATAAGTTTCCTTTAAAGGGATCCACAATGGTTCTTTCAGGGATCTATAGGGTTTAGGGTTTAGGGTTTGTTTCTTGCCTCCTGAAGTCCTGCATCGCTCGATTGGTTTCAAGCTTTGACAGGGGTTTTCACTTTGGAGCTGACGGTTTGTGGTCGAGGCTTCGGAGCTTCCGGCTCGACGCAGCTGACCGGTGGCTCATGCATAGTTCGTCTGCAAGCCACAACAAGTCTTGTTGGTCCGGGTTGCCCCTAGCCGCCCTTCAACCTCCACTCCCAAAGCCTTGACACTTCAGCCTGTACCCGAAGACCCCAGTACCACATCATTTCCGAACATGCCTTCAAGAACACTCGTAATCAGAGCAAGAATCGGAAGACTACTCATAATGCTACCTACAAGGCAAGAAGAAGACTCATGGTCCCAAGTATGAGCATGAGCCCTCCATGGTCTATAGTCGATTCATACCCCTTACCAACTCTAAACCCCAACCCCAGTTTTCGGGGTTCTCCGAGATCAGCGCCCTTCTTGTGAAGGAGTTTGATCCAAGTTACCATAATAGGCATCTATAGCAAACACTATGGTTTCTTTATTATAGTAGCTTAAAACGGAAGGGCTGAGTACCCCAGCCCAAAAAGGCTAACCTTCTCAAGTATGGTAGGAGTATATACACCCCAAAAGGCTAAAGGTTACCTACTCAGCTACTAAGTAAGTTAAATCCCCAGAGAGCCCAATACCTCTTAATTAAGGAATATACCTTAAATCATAATATGAAGGCCCCTATAATGTAAGATATTCCTTAATTAAGGGGTATTGGGCCCTCTGGGTACAAGAGCCCAGAAATCTCTGCTCCCGTTCCCAGCAGCCGAAGTCGAAGGCGGCAGCTTCTGCCTGCGCAGACCTCTCTCTGAAGGTGTCCCTTTTAGGGGGGACGGGATCGAGGTGGTGAGGAGTCTTTATGCGAAGTTGAGGGCTTTGCTTGCAAGGCTTTAGGCATAATTTTAAGGCTTGGGGGCTTGATTGAGAAGGTCTGCCTTTGCACCGTGGTGGGAATTCCCGTCAGAGTTGTGTGCTGCCACTCCGTCAGCCTCGTTTTTCTGCCCGTGCCCCTGTCTCACAGCGTTTTCCCCGTAAAGCGTTAGATCTGAGACCTTCTATTCTTGGGTTGCTTAACAACTCGGAAGATGAAGATTTGGGCCGCAAAGGTTCATAGGCCCCTGCCAGGAGGGTTCCGGCGAGAGGTCCCATTCACCCAAGAGTTCGAAGCTTCGGGGAGTTTTTAGGGCTTCAGAGGTTAAGAGAAGTTTCGGGTTTCCTTCAGCCCTCTATCACTCAGCTGAGCCGCGTCTTTGCATCCTTCTCCTCGGGCAGCTTGCTAGTAGAGGCTTGGGAAGCTGAGCACATGAGCGTTTCAGCACATACGGGACCCCATATCGATCCCAGTTCGTGGATCCTCATTCAGGAATTAGTGGCAGAGTGAACACCTTTCGGCGGAAAGCATTGCATGGGAAGCAAAGGCTGACAAAGCAGCTGGGTCACTGGAGTCGGTTTCCAATTGTTGCTGTCAGAAAGACACCCTCAAATGTGCCATGCCCAAGAGTACCCTGGAAACCATACTTCGAGTGCTCTTGCAAATCAATGCTTGTCATCGGCACCAGTGTCCTGTGCCGCGTCCGGTCGCGGGCCTGCCGCAGCCATGGCCGAAAATGTGCGATCCTCAGATGCCAAGTCGCATCCTGCTCCAGAAGCATGTGCAGACTCGACTCCGAACTTAGCCGGTTTCACGTGGTGGATGTAACACCAGTACCGGTCGCCTTGCCTTTGATCGTTCTTATGCAGGCACCCTAAACCCCACCTTAGCCCCAAATAACCTAACGTAAAGAAGCCATAGTAACATAGTAGGGACGTCCAAAGATGACGTTTCACTCCACAGAGCTTTCGAGTCGGGGTGCTTGAAGGCCGGCGCCAACGATGTGGCCCTTCAGCTCAGCTGCATCCTTATAATGATGGGGCTTCATGATTATGGTGGGTATTTAGAAGGATCGTACGATTCCGCGCCGGGCTGCGGTGAGCTACTGGCCTTCGCAACTTGTTTTGCAAGCTCCAAACCGTGGGACATGCTCCAAGCAAGGTGGGGGAACCTATAGGGGGCTCATTAATCGGAAAGGCGCTGTTGGATATGTTTTGTGCACCTCTATTCGGGAACACCAGGGCACCAGGGGAATCTCTGCTTGGCCAGGATACTGGCAAGGTCTCTCGCACCGCGGGGGGGAGGTCCGAAGATCTGGCGAACTGTTCCAGGCTCGCCTGTTCCGGTATAGGGGACCTAGGGGCCTGACCATGTGGAATAGGTACAATATACCCTTGTTCTTTCAGGTCGATAAGAGGATCTTGCTTCTAGCTTTTTTGAATGACCCCTAGATATTGCCAGCCGATCCAAACAAGGCTCAATGGTAGTGCTCATACATACTGGTTCTGCTCTTCCCGACATACTACACATCCGAAGAACGGCATCCAAATCACGAAGCATCAATCAATTGTCAATTATGCCCAGACCAATCTCTCTTAGTTTGCGGGCAAAGCAAGTCTCCTCCCTGCGAGCTGGCTGGTTATCAGTCTTGCAATCCTTCGCCGACCGTATTCGTTGCATCACTCGCCGGCAGCTGTCAGGTTGGATTTAGTCGGGGTCCCTATCGGAGAACTGAGACCTAAATTCTGAGGCTTCGAATGAAGGCTGTAAGCAGCCGGGACTTTGAGAAAAGATTGCCTCGACCCGCTTGAGGATGCAGTCGTCTGCCTTGCAAACACAGGGCTTGGCGTTGTCAGGGCTCATAGTGCTTACTTGTGGTTTTGGGCCGGGCGTGTTCGCTGCTTTTTTTTTGCCTCCTGCTAGTTACGTCAAGCCCGCATCGCAGGGTTTTTTCAGTGTCCTTGCACCGCAGGTCTCATCTCCATGTTTCAGGGCTTGAGGGGACTGTGAAGGGAGTAGGAACTATCGAAGTATCGGTCTGCAAGATGTCGAGCCCGGTGACATCTCGCGATTCAGTTTAAACCTTGAGGATGCTCCGGTTTTTCGTACGCGAGATGTTTCAAGCTAGCAGAAGATTCGGGGTTTGTCGTCATACTAAGCAACTTGCTCTCCTTGCCACGGTCAAAGGCTCCTCAAGGCCCTAAAGACGAATCCTCCGCATTCTTTTGCAAAAACTCCTCGAAATACGGACACTTCATCTACTTCACCATGCGCCGGGCAGCGTCCCAATGACGCCATCAGGCAGGGTCCGTAATATGGGTATGTATAGGTTTGTACATAAGAGCCGTAATACTCGAACGAATCAAGGTTGCGGGGTAGATGAAATTGTAGAAGGGGACATTATCCTGAAATATTCCGACCTGTACAAATTGATCATGTCGACGTCCACACGGGCCCTTAGGCCTTAAACTCCACAACTTGGCCATGTCCTGAAACCCAAAAGCTCTTCCCCAACCCCCGCCTTCCCCCAATCCATCCGTCTCAAACCCAAACTCGGTCCGAAACCTCAGTAAAGAACCCCCAAGCCCTGCGAAGCAGAATCCCTAAAACCCTACGACGCTGAAGCCTCTCGTCTTCTTCCACACAGTCAAGAGCAGGCAGGAACCCCGACCCACTCTGCGCGCGCGCGCGCAAGCCTCTCGTCTCTCGCTCTCTCTCTTTCGCCAGCGCTATGGGCTAGAGGGAATGAGCTGTCTCTCTCTCTCTCTCTCTCTCCGTCGCCCGGCTCCCGCATCGCCCCAGGCCCAAGGGGCGCCTCAGCCACCCCGCGCTTGAGCCCGGAGGCGATGCACTCACCGAGTCCCAGCCCTGAGTAGCTCCAGGGAAACTCCAGAAACAACCGTCAGAGTGGCAGGGTTTTGGGCAGAAATCGGCTGACATAAGTAGTAGCAAAAGATATGAAGAACTGAAGAACACCCGCACAGCTGCTGGTGTTGCTGAAAAAACAACAAATGCCAACAAGCGACAACCGAAAAAACAGCAACATGTACATACATACATGCATGCATACATACCTACATACATGCATGCCTACAGACATCCCATGCATACACGCATGCCTACAAGCATCCAGGTGTGGATGCGTACATACATACATCCATGCATGCATGCAGACATGCTGCGATATTCTTGTGTATACATAAACGTTTGCGCACACG